GAAGAATCCAAGAGACTGTTGGAAAAATGTAAGTAATTATCATTTATTAATCTGCAGCTTTATTAATTCTATTAAAATTATTAAATACAAATAAATTTTTCTCCAGATTCAATATTCCTTAGGTGGAGGTGGTCAAAGTTCAATTAAGAACTGTCCATTCTTTGATAATATTAGCATTAAAAAAGAAGAAAGAAACTGCATTTTAATCAATTATTTTCTTTATTTTTTAATATCATTAGAGGACATAAAGTTGATTAAAAAGCTTTAAAAACAATGGAAACTGAAAATAAATTTGGAGTTCCCTATTCAAGGCGTGATAATGAAGAAGTCAAAAAAATTTCTAAGGCAATTACACGTAAAGGTATTTTTGCATTTGATAAGCTTAATATATTAAAAAAAAGTTAAAAATTAATAATGGTATTATCATTAATAAATTTAGGTACAAGAAATGGTAAAAATAAGCGAATTTTGGTTGATTCAACCAATATTAAAACTGAAAGCTCACAACCAAAAAGAAAAGGACAATTTGCATCAACTAGAAATTCTAAACAATGCAAAATTACTGAAAATAATACTGAAAATATTGATTTTGATATAGAAGAGAGAAAAATAGCCCTTAAGGAGCGTGAACTTCAGATTTGTGTTCAAGAGGCTGCAGCCAGAAAGGCACTTGCTGAAGCTGAAGCAATGGAGCCAATTAATTTAGAAAAAAAAGAAGTCATTAGGATTACTTTAAATAATAACATCAAATATAATTTGTATTAAAGTAATATAAATAAAGTTATAATTTTTTAAAATTTAAATTTTAGTAGTATAGAATAATAATAAAAAAATGAATCATACATACTATGATTTTTTTTTATATAGTAATCTAAGTATGTATGTATAAATATGAATCATACATACTACTTTAAAATCATACATACATAGATCATTTTAACCATACTATACAAAAATTCTCAATCATACTACATAACTTTCTGAAATACTGGAACGTTCTGTGGTAAACTTTTTTTTACTTCAACTGCTTTTATAGTACTAGGAAGGGTGATACAAAATGCTGATTGGCTTCTGCTATTGCACACAAATCTTAGTAAAAGCAAATATCCATGTGAATTATGATTCCGTTCTCTGTTCACAATTCAATCATGGATAACGAAAATAACATTTTTTACTCTAGTTCGTTGGATGATGACGAACCTACATTGGACTTGGATTTCAATGCTCTACGACAGCTTGCTTCCAGTCGCTTAGACAGACATTGTGTTCACACTCGTAGACTAACAAAAGGACTCTATAATGAAATTTATTTATTACAATTCGAGGGTGGCCCAGACTGCATCGCCCGACTTTCGCGTGATCTAACCCACCCTGCAGCAAAATTCGCTAGTGAAGTTGCGACTATGAAGTATGTCGCTCAAAATACCAGTATCAAAGTGCCGGAAGTATATGATTGGGATTGCACCGTGCATAATCCCATAAAAATCCCTTACATTCTCATGGAACGGATACCTGGACAACACTTATATCGAGTTTGGGATGAGTTAACAGTTGAAAAAAAGAAGTGTGTTTTAAGCCAAATCATCGACACGTTGCTCGAATTATGGACGAAATGCCAGTTTGAAGAGATCGGATGTCTTTACATGGACTTTGTGAGTACAGTAACAACTTTTTACTTGTAGTATTATGCAAGGCACATAATTAATATTTATTGAATGTCTCATATAATAATATTATAAAATTAGATGGAGTCAACTTTTCGAATAGGACCTATTGTGGATCCTGTATTTTATATTGAGGGAAGAAATGCCATTCCTAGTTTCACCGGCCCTTTTAGAAGCATGCAGGAATTATTTGACGTCTTGATTCAAAAAGAAAAAAAATTCTTTGAGATTCATGTTGTGCAAGAACTTATGAAAAAGAAGAAGATAAATCAGATAACGAAAGTGGTAAATCTAATAAAACAAATGGCCTTACTTCAATTCAAGTTATTCAAACCTTTTGATAAATCGATAGATCAAAAACCCTTTGTTCTTCTTCATGGTGATTTTGATGCACAAAACATACTCGTTGAGCGTTCAGTTAATGATGAAATCAAAATTGTAGGTATCATTGATTGGGAGTTTTCTCGTACAGGAACTTTATGGAATTTATGCCAGTATCCAATATGGATCCAAGAAGTGGAAGAACCGTTCAGAGTTCTCAACGATTTGGAGTTGCAAGAGAGTCGTGAAAAGCAGAAGCTAAGAGAATTTTTCCATGGTGAAATGGTAGCAAAATTGGGGAGCAGAAGCAGACAAATACTGGAAATGAAAAAACGAGATTTGAGGATCAAAAAATTAGAGGATATGTTTACTTATATGGTTCACAGTTTTGCAGGTTTACAAGGCTTGCTAGAATCGTTCTTCTATCGTTATGGGCCAGAGTTAACCAATGCTCATTTTGATGATCCTATTCCATCTAAAAGAGTTATTACGTATTTGTTATCAAAGGATGAATTATTATTAGATAGAATCATGGAAGAAGTTCCTATTGATTACATAGCATCTGTCTATTACAAACTTAAATCTAACGATTATAATTTTTCTTGGCAACAAGCTTCTACCATAGCATTTCATATGTGGAATAATGAAAGCAAGGATGATCCCACAATTTATGAATATGGCAACATGAATATTTAATATAATAATGTCAGTTTCGGTGATTGTGAAATATCAAATGTTTAATGAAAAGAAATTTATATCTGGAGTTTGCAGTACCTAATTTTTTTAAGAAATATATGTATATTTTTACCTATAAAACATACATTCACAATTTAAAAATCAATCGAAAACATATTTTTATTATTATGTAATTATATGAAAAAGTGGCCAGCTGACTAATAAATAAATGTAAAAAACGATAGAGAAGCAGGGTTTCAAGGGAGGAAATTTGCCGAGCCCTAACCCAATTTAGTTGCAGTTTCTTTTCCGCTACTCAGTATTATTATCTAAACTGCTAATATTTTCTTTACTATCTAACCATTTGCTAATTAACTTTACTGTACTATATTTCGAATCACTGTACCCATAATAAAAACTTTTTATAGTAGCCTCTCCAATCTTTTTTCCCGTAAGTTGATGAATCTCACGAGCTACCATTTCACACATATAGTCAACAGAATCACTCCCTCTAAGCGAATTAAAAATTTGCTTAAAACGGGTCATCAAAAAAAGATGAATTGGATGATGAACTTCCAGAATAAGAGCTTGCATGTGAAGTTCACTCTGATTGACTTGAAGCTTCGGAATTGTTGGCCACACTGTGTTGATCAGATTCATCAAATTCATCAGAGACTGACTGAGTTCTTTGAGCAAGTATGCTATCTACATCGTGTCTAACCATATCTTACAAGAACTTGGATAGTAGCATTGATTGTAATAAATCCAGATTAAAATTGGTTTGATATTCTCGTTCGATTTCATCAAGTCTTGTAGTCACGTTGCTGATTATTGATCTTATTTTCTGTGCCTTTGCAGAGTAATTATTCTGCAGTAAGTTTACCGTTAATCTTATGCTTAATTTTGTTGATCTCCGCAGTGAGTTGGGAATAGATTTCATTCTTAATTTTGCTAATCTCCGCAGTGGAATTAATGTTAACTTCAGAAATATGTGCGCTAAGCTTTTTGTTCATTTCAATAAAGGTCTTTTCGATTTCCTCTGGTGTGTTATTTTTTGTATCAAGATCATTGATGATTCTAGTGACACGTGCAGAAAGTTCATCAGAAATTTTTTGTTTGAAATAATGAGAATCTATTATAGATGATAACAAAGGGGAAATTCTAAGTGATATAACCAATATATTGTATGACAGATAAAAAGAAAAAGTTATAAATTTAGTATTGCTTAAAAAGAAAAATCTGATGTTTGCAAACCCAAATAGTGATGTAAAGGCATTTCCTTTACTATGTGGTTGGGCGTTAAAGCATAATCAAAAATATGGTAAAAAGGGTTCAGAAAAAAGAATTGCACCACAAGTTATAGCTCTGTTAGAACGTTTCTTCTTAGAGGGTAATGTTCACAAAAACAGAAAAATAAATGGGTACAATATGTGAGACAACTGGTTGAAAAACAAGAAAGTGGTGAATTGGCACGAGACATTGAAATTCCAGAAGTGTCTTCTATTAATAATTGGATAGCAAGATTTGCTGCGAAGTCAAAAAAGAACTTGTCTGAACAAGCTATAGCTAGTTTTTAAGCAGTTTTAAAGCAAAATTGTTATTTTTTGCCATTCTTAATAATTAATAAAATACCTGGAATCTCACATTCCGTAAAAGCCCAAGCCAAAAGTTTTTTTTAAATCATTTTGATTAAATTAGTAAAATAAAAATTCAAGATTTGCCACGTTGAAATAAGGGGTTTTTTTTGTATTACGCATTGTAAGTTGTACATCAATTTTTATTATTCAGAACGTTTAATTATATGATTAACATAAAATTCACCAAATTTGTCTAATTAATTTTTATGGTTTATTGGCGGATCATGAATTAATTTCTTTTTTTATCTTTTTTTTAGACAGCCTGGACACATAGGATCTCAGTAAGAAATCAGCCTTGGTTTTTCATATTTTTAGTCAAGTCTGGACGTGTAGGATAAGTAAGTTTTGGAAGACAGAAATTTGAAACTTTAAAAAAAAAGTTTTTAACTTTTTTTTTCATTTTTGTAGGAAATCGGCTCTGAATTAGAAACCAAATCCAGATAAGTTTCTAAAAAAGAATCTGAAGCTCAAAAAGTAGTTTTTTTAAATTTATTCTTGTTTAATTTTTGTAGGAAAATCAACTCTGATGTGGATACCAGATTCCCAAGTGAGTATCGAAAAAATATTATTGAAAATTAATTAAAAAAAGTTTTTATTAATCTTTTTTATTTCTTTTTTAGGACTCCTGTCTCCAGAACCCTTGTGAAAAGATGTTTAATTACAGTAATATCTTCTTTTATTTTGTAGTTTTCCTTTGACTTAATTATCAGGATTTTCAGTATGATAACTGGTTTTTGTATTGTTCAGGTTGTGTGAAATTAGTAGGTTGAAGGTAAGTTTTTTGGAAAAAAATTTTAAAACGATAAAAAATTTTGATTAACATTTTTTTTCTTTTATTTATAGGATGAATTTCTGATTTATGAATGGATCGGATGATAAGTTTTGAAATTTTAAAATTAAATTATTTCAAAATTAAATTTTTTAAAAAAAATATTAATATACTTTTCCTCTCTTTTTTATAGGAAACGGATTTCTGGTTTTTTGGTGGATTGGATAGTAAGTTTTGATTTTAAAAACTTAATTTATTTAGCGATTTTTTTATTAATAATATTTTATTTTAATTTATTTTTATTTTACAGAAATCTAAAGAATTACTACAGTAGTTTGTTGATCACATTCCATATTTATTTTTCATACACAATTGTAGGAATGCATAAATCGATGTTATATTTTATTACTAGGAAACGGGAACCGTTGTAAGTCCGGAGCGAGGTATGATAAATAAAGATGTAGCGATATTCTACTAATTAGCAGCATAACGCCTTGGAATTCCTGGACAGAGAAACTCACGTGATTGAAAATTTACATGTTATTTCCATAGATCATCATAGTGCGTAAACATATATAGTCCTTCGCTTCGCTCCAGACAATAATGTGGTATTGATATGATAATAATATTATTAAGAATTATATAGTATTTTAAATTTTTTGATAGATGAGAGAAACATTTGTGCTATATATTGTATATATGTAAATAAATTTTTGATTATTTTAATAAATTGATTTATTATATTTCCAACATATTTTTGACACCATATACAGATAGATCACACTATATAGTTAATGATATCAGGTGATCTTCATTTTAATAGTGATATTCCTTGTGATTGGTTGTTCTGCTAATTGTGCTATCCTGGAAAGAAAGGAAAATTTTACTAATTTAATTAGCTCTTATGCGCTAAGTATAGGGTACGTTTTTTATATTATTAATATTGATATTGATATTGATATTGATATTGATATTGAATTGAAATTGAATTGATATTGATATTGATATTGAGTTGATATTGAGTTCAATATTACGAACAATGGTCGTTTATATAAAAAAAAAAATTGATCATGATCTGCAGCATGATCAAAATCCAAGAGCTAACCATATATTGACATCAAGGATATATATATATATAAATAGGGAAAATGTAATTGGCAACCTGGGTCAGCATGATGACCCCTGATTATGTAATAAATTTATATTTTTTTATTGGCTACACAAATATGATCATTGTGTCATCTGATAAATGTTTATTTGTTTATCAGATAACGATAATTTTTTTTTCCTTTTTTTTTATTGCAGTGCTATTTCAGCTTGAAAATGACTTTTTTTCAAGGCAATTTTTTTTGTTTTTTTTTTGTTATTTTATTGTATTTAATGACTCTTTACTTTATTATTAACGCTAACTTTATTTTTTCTTTAGATAATGGGATGGCTTCTTTCCCAGTAAGAAAAATTGTATACTGAAAATATACTGAAAATATACTGAATTTTAATAATATATAAAGTTTAATAAATGTATTATTTAAGTATAATTTGGGTATATTTTTTATAAGTTAATTATATACATAATTAATACTGAAAATATGTTTAAATATATTGTTTTTGATATGGAAATAACTTACAAAACATCCTTAAATTTTGCCCGTTTAAATATATTTTAAGTGTAAATATTTTATATTTATTTTATTATTAATTTCTACTTTAGTTTAAGTATAATAAACGGATATATTATATATTAATAAGGTTGCTTGTCTAAACCTCTTCAAAATTCTATAATTAGTTTCGTCAAAATTTTACTATAGATTTATTATAGTTTGGCAGAGTTTTGGCAGTTTCAGCATTTATAATAAGTTTCAGCAGTTTTGCCTTTCTCCAAAGTTTCGCCAGTTTTTTAATATAACTTTAATATAGTTTCAGCAGAATTTCGCTTTTCAGTGAAATGCCATCTTGCCTAAACCCCTAGGTTTTGGCAAGCAACCTTATATATTAAAAAGTATATTTGAATATATTAAAATGCATTTTCAGTATACTTTACATACATTTTAATAATATATTAATTATGATTCAAATCGAAACAATGTATATTTTTAGTTGAATTAAAGGTTATTTAATTTATAATAAACTAATATTTATTGTACATTTTGATAATAAAAGGATTATGCAATGAGTATTTAATATACATGTTATAGATATGGTTTAATTATATTTTAATTATTTTCAGTACGTTAAAAAAGGTTATTTTAATTATAATAAATTGTACATTTTAATAATAAAAAGATTATTTAATAAACATGTTATAGATATGGTTTAATTATATTTTAATTATTTTCAGTGCATTAAAAAAGGGTATTTTAATTATAATAAATTGTACATTTTGATAATAAAAAGATTATTTAATAAACATGTTATAGATATGGTTTAATTATATTTTAATTATTTTCAGTGCATTAAAAAAGGTTATTTTAATTATAATAAATTAATTTTTTGTGTACATTTTAATAACATCAAGAATTCATTTTTAAGATAATATGGTTTGAATAAATGCATAAATAATATTGAACATAATTACGAAAAGAAATACAGTTACAAAAGACTTATTCTGTACCTTATTATAATAATAACTTGAGATCTACTTACCCAAAAGAACATCATATGAAAAAATACATATGGTATATTATTCTAATATATATATTCAAAAGTAAAAAATATAAAAAGATAGTTATGGAATAGCAATAATTTATAAAGACTGATACATACCTACTAAATTATCTTTTGCTTAATTTTTGTAATATTGCGCTGCGAAATATAAAAAAAATACGTTACTACAACTGATGCAATTATAACATGAGATTTGGCAAATACCTTCTACATACTCCCTTAAGTAACATCATAGTCTAGTAAGCCTCAACCACACCCTGTTGTAAAGAAGGTACGTAACCGACTCTTTAGACTTCACAATAGGATATTGTGTGGTAGAGAATTTGAAAATATAAATATATTCTATTTTCATACCTATTTAACAGCTTTAAAAACCTTTTATCGATAAATATAAACACAATATTAATGTAACTTTTTAACAAAAAATAAACACATAAGCAAAGTATTAAAGTATTTTTTAATAAAAGTTTAATAAAAGAAAGAAAAATAAATATTAAAGATAAAAAAGTCAAACGGTAATAAATAAACAAAAGATCTTAATAAATAATGCAATATTTACTATTTTTAACTACACTAATTATAATAGATAATCTGCGTTTAACTATTTTTAGAGAGAATTAATAAATTTACCAAATAACGGGTTATCTGATTTATTCAATTCTACCAGCATTATAACCATTATTTTATTAGATGGAATGATAAAGTAAAATTTACTTTTTATTATTTAAACATGTTTAAATTGCAAATAACGGGTTATCTGACTAACATAGACCGGTATTTAATATCTATATTTTTCATTTTCTACCTCTTCCACGTCTTTCTTTTTTTTTTGGCTATTTTGTGGTGCTTCTAAAGGAGATTCTTGTTGCAGAGGAAGTACTGGAGATTCTTCTTGTGTTCTTCGTGTTTCTTCTTGTCGTGCTACTTCTTTTTGCACTTCTTGTGCCACTTCTTCTTGCACTTTTTGTGCTGCTTCTTCTTGCACTTCTTGTGCTGCTTCTTCTTGCACTGGAAGAGTTCGATTTTTTTTTTTGTTTAAATAGTATCCTAAAAATAAAATAACAAATGATTAATAACAAAAATAAAACAAATAATTTACAAAATTATTATAACTCACGTTTTCTTTGAATGGTACTGATTAACATTTCTTTGACAGCCCAGTCACCTGCAGTTACAGGAAAATCGGGAGCTTTCTTCTTAAACTACAATGAAAAGTTAGTTGGCTATCAATAAACTTTTTGAAAAAAAAATAATAATAATGAAAGACAATATTTATAGCACGAACAACTTGGGATGTTACCAAGGTCTTTTGGATTCTATAACTTAAAGCAAAATCCACATTTTTCTCATAAAGACACTCCCTCATCATATCCTATTATAAAAATAATGAGTAAAATAATAAAATATAAATTTAACTTTTTATTAAAAAGCTAAAATAATTAATTACTAAATAGCTGAGCCAGCGCTGCTTTTGATCTTTTAAGCCGATAGCGTCCTGTAATTTATATTTATGCGTGAGCCTATAGATTGGCTTAGCCTATGATATTAAAATAATGAGCGATAGAACATTAACAATATGATATTCTTAATACTTTATACCTCAGACGGAAGAACATTCAAATCGATAGGAGATAAAACAGTGTTAGAGTTGTTAGAGGAAGACATGTCGAAAATAAGAAAAAGAGTTTAAGTTTAAGTTTGGAATAATACAAGCGTGAACTTATCTTTTTATAGAGATATACACGTTATTGAGAAATGTCCCGTGCCAATTTGATGCGCGTGTCAATTTGATATACGCGTTATTATTAATTACTGATACATTGTCATACTTTACTTTTTTCTAAGACTATAATATCAACGATTAGAAATCATTTTTATTACTATTAGTTTTTATGCTAAATAATAATTTATTACATTTTATTCAAGATTTTCCCAATTAGCATCATCAAATGCATTTTCTTTATCAATTGTAAAATACTTGTTATCTATTTTTGCAAATCCTACGCAATGGTCTACACACCTTACATCAATAAATTCTTTTGATTTAAATTGAGTAAAATATTTACATTCATATTCATCATCTATTATTTTTGATGTTAATTGTACATAAGCGAGCATGTGAATTTTATCATTAAATTTATGTACAAAAAAATAATCTACTATCCCATAAATATCTACAATTATGAGTTGAGGAAGTGCATTTGGTCTATGAGAAACTTTATCTATTGTACGTCTTATCTAAATTACAAGCAATAATAAATCAATAATATAATTGATAATGATGATGATGATAAATGATTTCTTACCTGAATACAATAATTATTTCTTGCGATCTTATTCTTTCTTTTTATCCAATGACTGCTAATATAATGCCCATCTGATGTCCTTAGTCTTCCATATTTCATGCCATAATTATTAATGTTCTAATAAATTTAAAAAAAAACTAAATATATCTTGAATAATTTGATTAGTCTAACAAAAAAATTTTTTTACATTTACTGAGTTTGATCCTTCATAAAATTTAATCAGATGTTTGTGCTCTTGTCCTGATAAAGAATATTGTATAGAAGGCCAATAAAATTCTTCTTCATATTCTTTGATATCACAAAATACCTGTTTACTATTCCATTGTTTTGGTAGTTTTTCTTTAAAAATAGATTTAGAAATAGAAAAGAATGGCAACAAATAAAATTGTTGTAATAAGGTAAGCGTGTTTGATAGATTACTATAAGGATTAAGTCTTGATTTAATAAGTAGTTGTAAAATACCACAAATTTTCTCCATTGGAAATTGCCAGTGTGTCCAACTAGGACCACAATATTTAATACAGTTTGCCACATGTAAAAGATAGTGAAAACTTATCTGACATGCTGTTAAACGTTGACTATTATGCTGATAATATTCTCTAAAATAAACAACAAATCTTTATAAAAAAATGAAAGATGATAAATGAAAAATTAAATTAAACATTATTACCTCTCATAATAATCCAAGAATTTTTTAAGTAATTGTTGAACATCATCTACTTGATCTTCTGATATTACAGGCTCTAAACAAAGCTTTACAGCTTTTACAATATTTGACCATCCTTGAAGATGCCTATTTAACAAATAAAAAAGTAAATTTTACTTTTCATTAATGTAGATTGATAGATAATAGTCATAATACATATATACTTTTTGATAAATACCTTTTATTTAAATATTTCCTTAATAATGGTAATGAAAATAAAATAATCCAGTTTCTCCACTCTACTGCTTTATAACCATTATGATATTTAAGTATATCTCGTGGAGGGCGTCCTATTTCATTAGGCATATCTTTTTTGATTTTTTCCATTTGTGCGCCAATAATTTCCCATTGTGATTTTGATAATTCATAATCATTAGACATTGGGAGATTATTGAAAAATTTACCAGTCCAATGCGCATACATTTGTGGGGCCATATTTTCAAAAAATAAATGCATAATGTCTGTTGGAAAAGACCATGGAAATAAGATTGTTTTTAGTTTGAGCAACTCACTTGGCCCTTTAATTCCTATAAATATAAAATAATTTTTAATATATAATTTTTATTTAATGTAATTGGTTTTAAAAATAAAAATATACCTGCCTGTTTCTTTTATCATATTATTTTTTTGAATTTTAATTGTTTCACTGTCAATTAATTTAGCCATATTGACAGTATCATCATAATTTTGTATATTATAAACAGTATCAGATGATGGATAGTATATGTAATAGTTTGATGGATGACAGATTCCTTCTATCATACAAAAGCGGCAGGCCTTATATATGAGTTATGCCCAGTTAAGTTTAAGCTTTTGCTTAATGCTGGGATATCTCCCGTTCATGTTAATAAATGTGCACGCAAAATAAATTGTTCATTTGTACGTCCATCTATACAAGGAACTCCTTCTAAAATTTTTAATAACAATTTAATAAAAAATTTTTAATAAAATCATTTTTTGTTATGTTAGAATAAGTTTACCTTCAAGTTCCTGTAATTCTTTTACTAAAGGATGTAAAAAAGAATTGAAATCTTTTGGCGAACGGGGTCCTGGTATTATTATCGTTACTAAAAGATTTTCTTTTTTTACACGAATGTGAGGGGGTGAATTATTATTTATTAATAATATAATCCAACAATCATCGGTCTTCTGTTCAAAAATTTGATATCCGTCACATGACCCAGATAACGTGATATCTCTTTCATCTTTAAATAATCCCTTTGTAATAAGTCTTGATATAACCTATTTAATCCAGACAATATATTAGTATCCTATAACTATTATTAAAATATATATTACATAAATTGATTTATTAAAAAAAAATATATATATTACACAAATAAAAAAAAATGTGGACATAGAATCATCCAAATTTGATTCATGTGAAATAAATTTTATTGAATAATTTTATTTTGAATATGAATATAAATTATAATGGGTCTGATACAAAATCCCGAATGTCAAAATCCCAAAAATCCTGAACCAGGCAGCATTATGCTTAGTAATGTTGGCCAATATTTCGGGATTTTGTACCATTCAGGATTTTGACATTCAGGATTTTGTACGGAACCTATTATAATATACGGTTTAAAAATTTTTTTAAAAAAAAATTGTTAAATGTTTTTTATAAATTAAAAAATTCATAATATTTCTTCTTTTAAAGCCAATTACAAGATTATTAAATCAAAATGCAAAAAACAATAAATTAAATTATTTTAGATGGAAAAAAAAATAAAATAAATTATTTATTTATTTCAAATAAAAATTAAATTATATAATGTATTTATTACCAATATTATTGTTTTTGCAAATAAGTGTTAAAATTTATGGTATATATTCTACTCTTAGTAAGGGCTGGTCACCGGCCCTAGAGTATGACTCTAGTTGATATACAGTATAATAAAAACATTCCTATTACATATTTTCATTATATTTTTGATTGATGTTAAGCATATGTCAAAAATACAAAATAAAAATATGTCTAGAATTATTTAAACATATTGCTGTTATCGAGTTACAACAGAGTTAACAGAAATACATATGCAATATGGTGATCATATTTTAAAAATGTTTCTACCATATTTTTTAAAATTGATAGGTTTCAGCAAAGTATGTAATTTTAAGAATCCAACATAGATTTTATGTAAATCTGATTTTATGTGAAAAATATATTTATGTAGATTTGTATGGTTTTTTTATTTACAATTCAAATAAAATTTATATATGTTTAAATAAATATTATATTTATGTTATATAGATTTATATTTATTGTTAAAAGTATATAATTAAATTTATTATCATTATACAAATATATTTTCTTTATTAATGCTACTAAACTACTGAACTAATCAGAGCTATAAATATCTTTCTCAATGTTTAATTCATTATTCTAGTATAAAAAATATATATATACACATTATATATTATATAAAAATATTGTATTAATATTAAATTAAAATATACTCAACTGCATATTGGTTTAATTTTGTAATTATGTAATCTTCATCCATTTCGATTTTTACATGTTCAGAATCCAACATATTTTGAACACATGCTTTTATCACAAAAGCATTATTTTTGGTTGCATTTTTACCAAACACTTGGCAACAATTTGGGAAAGTAGTGACTCATCTTCTTCATCGATACACGTCTCTAGATTTTCAAACCACCATCGAACTTTATCATTTGATTTCCATTTGGAAAGATCTGCCTGACTAGTAGACGTATCAACTTTTCCAATTGACCTTTTAAACATGACCATGTATGTTTACGTATTGTTCCAAATAAACTTCCACGATATGAACAACAATATGATCCAACCTAATTCAAATATATGATTATTAGTATATAAAATATTATGAGAAATACAAATAAATAAAAAAAATTATTTAAAAATCACCTTTTCTTCAATTCTCTGCCATAATATATTCCATTTAGTAGTTTGTTCATTTCTTTCCATTTTTTCAGGAGCCATTATCTTTAGATGCTTCTTTATATGTAATGAAAGAGATTCCTCTTTCGGGTATAGACATTCATTTATTATTTCTTTAACTCCATCTTCCACGTATTGCTATATAAATAAAATTAAAAATATGAAATAAAAACACATATTACAGATGCTTTCCTTCTATAACACATTTCAGTTTTTTGACTGTAGATTTAATTTGTTTGATTTGTGATTGCATTTAATTCATAGTTTTTTCTTGCTTCTGAAACATAGCTATGGTATGATCGTACATTTGTTTATGAAGATCAAAAAGCTTTTTCATTTGGCTTTCAATAACTATATTAAAAATTAAATTATCAAGAAAATCATTGAATACTAGTAATTACTAAGTTGTTAATAATATTTAATAAAATCAAAACATACCATCAGAATTTTGATTGGTAGTATTAGTAAGTATTTGACTTGAATTTTTGATGTCAATCAATGGTAAGCGAGAGATATTGTTACTTTCATCTTTAATGGTAATTGGTACTTGAGACGCAATTTTATTGGATGAGTTTTTTAATAGATTATCTGTAGTATCAATTGTATTATCTGTTAATAATGATGTATTGAGTGTAATTTTCAGATTTTTTGAAAATAACTTATTTACAAATATTACCATTAGTTAAAGCAGTAATAGGCATAACATTTAAAGTGAATGGAGAACAAGTTATCATCAAATAAAGTGGTATCATTTGAAGTAGATGGTCTCAAATTATTACCAACTGAAGTTTTATTGATTGTAGGTTTTGTAACAAGTGATTTAACTTTTTGTGTAGTAGTTTTCCATTTTTTCTTTCCATTATTTGGTGTAGAGTTCGTATTTACTTCAAAGCCATCAATAATCTAAATAAAAAAAATGTGGTTATTTTGTACCATGTAAAAATCATAAATGTTGTAGTACTTACAGGATCCCGGACATCACATATATAACTCATAACTGATCTGCATGAATTTAAGTACTGCTAAAATAGACCTAATTTGCTAAAAATCAAATTATCACATTTCAAATCTATACTAATTTGCTAAAACTCAAAATATGAGTTAATAATCTTTTTTTTTATTATCAATAAAAAAATAAATGATTAATATAAATTAAACTGCCAATTTTTATAATTAAAATATGTAGATTATAGATAAAATAATAATTAATAAAAATAATAAATTAAATAAATAATTATTAAAAAATAAAATGTTGCGAAACTAAACGGATGGTTTTTGGCCCGCATTATGCTTAATTTTGGCCAAAATATGACCCGGACCCCGAAACTAATATTTTTAAAAATATTATTTATAAAGTTAAAAACAAAGGATAAGTTAAATTTTAAAAAAAGTACCAATTTGCTCAAATATAAAATATGACTTTGTAAAATCAATACAATTTGCTAAAACTCATAATTATGACTATTAATTAATTTTCAATCAATTTGCTATAAAAAAAATTATGAGTTTAACCTAATTTTGATTGAATTTGCTAAAACTCAAATGTGAGTTATATACTGTATGTGATGTCCAGGGTCCTGTACTTACAGCTTCAATATCTTGCTGGTCATTTATTTTACGCTTTGATTTAAGATTTCTCATAGACTTCATAGCTAAATAATTAATAAAACAATGAAAAAATGGAAAGTTGAAAAGAACATGAAATAAAATCAGTTTAAATTATTTAAACTATTTAAACTATTTATATAAAATGATAATTAACAATATGATCGTTACATTATTAATCGCATAATTTATAATAATGGATATATAAACATATTATTGTAATACAAACTAATACTGGTAATATATTATTTTCATTTTTCACAAGTTTCATTTTATAAAATTATTATTATTGATAATATATTTAATAGTATTTCATAATTACTTCATATCAGAACATCATTAATTAGATAAAATATTCAAAGAATTTTGGTTAAATTTACACTGGCAATCTCTTATTCAATTGATTTTCATTTCGTAATTACATATCACATTAATAATAATTAGTTTTTACAAGTATAACATTACAGTACTTCATCCCTTTTTCATATTATATTCATTGTAGCCTTAAATTGGATTTAAATATTTTAAATTTTTTAAAATCATTATGATACACTATATTTTATATCATCATTTTTTATTGAAAGGGTATCTCAATTTTTAAAATGTGGACATGTAATATTTGCTTTAAAACTTTTAATCGTTCAACAAGTTATTATAATCATCGACGAAGCCACAAATTCAATTATGAAATAAGTAGTAGTGAACATGAATCAAGTTCAGATGAAGAGTCTTCAAAAGAAATTTCTTCAGATCAATTATTTTCAAAGAGGGATGATGTTTATAATCGTAATGATGGTGATGATGGTAAAGAATCAAATGAAAGTGACGAAAATACTAGAATTGCATTTGATGACTTATCTGTTCCTATTATTGAACATTCAGTTTTAGCAACAAATATAAACGAAATGGCAATTCCTATTTTTTCTAAAGATGATGATCAAACCTTTTCTGATGATCAATCTGATGAATAAAATTTTCCAAATGAGATTTATCGTGATTTTGTTAAGCTTGTTAAGTATCTCAAAGCATTTTTTTTTGTTAAGACTAGACGATTCATTTTAAATACTAATTTTTTTAATGTATTAGGTAGTACATTACAAACTATCAAATAATGTTGGTGATGCATTTTTTAAATTTCTTCACATTCATGCAAATTTTCCTAAAAGAACATTACCACCTTCCACTCGTATTGGCCTTCAATTCTTAGATAATTTAAAGAAAAAACATACTTTATTTAACTCAATACCTATAATCAATATTAACAATATTCAATACAATTTTGAATATCGGCCAATTTTATCAGGAATTGAGGAAATTGTAAGTAATGCTGAAATTGCAGAAGAATTGGTATTTGATTATAATGAAATTTGGATTAATCAAGAAGTGATATTTAAATATTTATACAAGATATTTTCTTTCTATGTGTATATTAATAATATTAATTCACCAATTTTAGGATGGTCAAAAATGTTCTTATAGTGAAATGTTTAATTGCAATTGGTGGAAGCAAGCAGTCAATCATGCGCCTTATAGTAGTAAGATTGTACCAATTATATTTTATTCAGATGCAACTACGCTTGATCATTTTGGAAAAAGTTCACGCCACCCAATATTTGTTACTATTGGAAATATTCCAACCAATCTTTGTAATAAACCTGAATCAAAAGTACTTGTTGGACTAATACCAATTTTAGAAAGTTCTAAACAAATGAAAGAAACTAAAGAATTTCATAAAGCAATTAGAATTACTTTCCATAACTGTTTTTAGATTCTTCTTGCTCCAATCTGAGTTCAACATCAAACAGGTATACAGCTGAAAGTTGGCAATAGTTATGTATGGTGTATGATGATAGTGGTAATGATATTAGGAGATTGGCCAGAAAATGGAAAATATTGCTTAACATATGATGGATCAAAATGTAAAAATCCATGTCATAATTGTCTTGTTGATTGGAATAATTTAAATAAAATTAAACTTGACAACTGAAGAAATATTACCAAGAACACAACAGAATATGCAAACTGCCATCAATTCTGGTTTGACAAAGCATTCTATTCATGAACAAAATAATGCCTTTTGGAATTTACTGTATGTATTTTTAATAAATGTTTTTGATAATAATATTAAATATTTTACTGACATTTTATTTAAGGAATTTTAACATTTATAGTGCAACAGTACCAGAAAAAATGCATCACCTTGATCTTGGACTTTTTCCTTACATGATTGAATTTACACGTAATTTATTAAAGAATCAGGGAGGAAATGCATTAGTTGAAAAAATGGATACAAGACTTGCAGCTATTCCACGACATCATGGACTTAAAATTTTCCATAATGGATTAGCAAATCTTGCTCGTTTTGCTGCACTTGAGTATCGAAATATGATGCGAGTTATGCCATTTGTACTTGATGGATTATTAGATAATGGAGGATTGGATAGCAAATTAATAGGTTTATATTTAAAATGGAATGATATGTATAGAAAAACAAGAAAATTAGCATTTACCAAAAAAGAGTTGGATAATTTTGAGGTATTAATTACTATTATATGAACCTATTTATATATTATTAATATAATCTAACTTATTAATAATGTAGAAATTAATGAAGAGTTGGGCAAAAGACTTTGTTTTAATTGGTTCTTATTCTAATAATCAATGTCAGTATCCAAAGCTTCATCATTTTCTTTATCATATGATTCCTGCTATTAAAGATTATGGCTCACCTAATGGTTGGAATGCTGAAACATTTGAATTTTTATATAAAGCCTATATCAAAGATCCTTATCATATATCAAATAAGCGTAATGTTAATCCTCAGATTTTAGGAACTGTAAATATCAATTTACAAAAAAAATATAATTTTATTTAATTTTGAATGTATCTTTTAATATTTCTTTTTAATGTTAAAACAGGTTATGCGAAAATTAACTTTACAAGAAGTATACAAGACAATATTTCTCAATAAACCACATCATTTTTACCAATCTAATGAAGTAATTTTGTATAAAAATTACAATAATATACCATTCTGACTCATTGAAACTACAGTTAATGAATTGAAAGTAAGAGAAGGCCTACCAGAAATTATTGATGGATTAGAACATTTTTTAGAAGCATTGAGTGAATATTTGAAAATAATGCCTTATTTAAATAATGAGGGTAATATTATTGACATGGAAACAGCTATAATTTCACTTTATGAATCAGTATGTTTAACTAACGGCAAATTTGTTTGAGCAACATTATCTTTTAATAATTTACCAATGTTTAATGATATATCAATTGAAATTGATGAAAGCCAATTAGAAGAATTTGTAACATATGATAATTCATGCTTTGCTAAGGTAAAAATATAGAAATTTTTATTATAAAATTAATTAATAACAACTGAATGAATTAACAAACAATTGTTAAATTGTAGGTTCTTTTGCTTGTACAGGTATTTTTAAATAATAATCATGAAGGTTTAAAATTGGCTTTAATTCGGTGGTATGATTTGAAAATTTAGTCTAAACATTTTAGATTAGATTGTCCATATATGAAAATGACTAATTTGTATAATTTGATTCCGATTGAATCAATTAATGAAATAGTTCATGTTATTCCACAATTTGAAAAAGTTGATTCATATTATATAAATACATTTGTAAATCTTTAAAACAGTTATATATGTTATTTATTGATGCAAATTATATATATTATATATAGGTAATTATTATAATTTTATACTTATTTGAAAATTAAATAAAACATATAAATATTTTTTAAACCTATACAAATTTATATAAAAATTTTATATAAAATATGTATCTAATTATATACATATATAGTTAGTATATAATAAAATACTTGCATAATTTTTATTTAACTATAAACTAGTTGTAGCCCGTCGCGCTGCGCCGGGGAATGGAGGGTGCATAATGATTAAAGCAAGAGAGTAATATAACAATATATTGGCAGCATACCCGATTTGCAATGCAGATTTTTATTGTTATCATATCATTACAATTGTATTAGTATAAGGCAAAAATATGTAAATAATTTTATGTCTCTATGACCAATAGAAGGCGAGTTATCCCATATTTTTCTTCAGAATCGCAGATTCTAAATTATTGATAAAATACATATGAGCTTATCACCGCCTTTTAATAGTCAAATTTTATGGTTCACTGGTGGATTACGAATTAATTGTTTCCAGAAGTCCATTTTGCCTCCAGGTGGTGTTCCTATAAAACCATCAATAAAATGTTAGGAAATGTTCTTAAACAAAATTAGCAAAAGAAAACAAAAAACCTTTTGTCTCCAAGAATCTCTGGAAGGTGTTCCTATAAAAAAAATTATTAAAAGAACATTAGGAACATTCTTGAACAAAATTAACAAAAGAAATAAACGAAAACTTACTTTTTATTTCCAAGAGTCTCCAGGGGGCATTCCTATAAAAAAAATTATTGAAAGAACGTTAGAAACATTCTTAAACGGAATTAAGAAAAGAGACGAAAAAAAAAACTTACCTTTCGTCTAGGGTGTTCCTACAAAAAAAATTATCGAAAGAACATTAGGAAATGTTTTTAAACAAAATTAGCAAAAGAAAATGAAAACCTTTTGTCTCCAAGAGTTTCTGGGAGGGGTTCCTATAAAAAAATTATTCAAAGAATGTTAGGGAACGTTCTTAAATGAAATTAACAAAAGAAAACAAAAAAAAAACTTACCTTTCATTTCCAAGAGTCACCAGGAGGCGTTCCTACAAAAAAATTATTAAAAGAATGTTAGGAAACGTTCTTAAATGAAATTAACAAAAGAAAACAAAAAAGAAACATTACTTTTCATCTCCAAGAGTCACCAGGAGGCGTTCCTATAAAAAAAATTATTAAAGAACGTTAGGAAATATTCTTAAATGACATTTAACAAAAGAAACAAAAAAGAAACATTACCTTTCATCTCCAAGAGTCACCAGGAGGCGTTCCTACAAAAAAATTATTGAAAGAACGTTAGGAAACGTTCTTAAATGACATTAACAAAAGAAAACAAAAAAGAAACATTACCTTTCATCTCCAAGAGTCACCAGGAGGCGTTCCTACAAAAAAATTACTGAAAGAACGTTAGGAATGTTCTTGAACGAAATGAATGGGAAAAAATGAAAAAAAACACCTTTTATTTTTAGGAGTCCATTTTGTCTTCAGGGTATTCCTACAAAAAAAGGGTAATGAAAAAAAAACATTATAAAACGAAGTAAAAATAAAAATAAAAAATAAAAAATAGATTGATTATCTAAATACACAACCAATAAAATTTTAAAATCACATCACGTGATAGGGTGCATTTGAACGCCAGGTGCGTTTAAATTTTAAACCCTTTTATCTATTATTTATATCTATATATCTATATAACTAAAAGGTCATATAAAATTGTATAACGATATAATGTGTATTTATCTGTATTATTGATTTATTATCTGTTATTTTTTAGTTAAATTTTTGGATCGGTAAATCAATATCATGAATACCGATCAATCTGATCATTTATATCATCATTTTATCATTACAAATGCCGATCATTTTATATAATAAATCATTAAATCATACTATGAACACCGATCATTTCTGTTGACTGAAATTATCATAGCTTTATTACCAAATTACCAAAATTTAGATATTTTAAAAAAAGCTATTATAAAATTAAAATTATCTATAATATTATAATTTCGTATGATTTAACATAAAATATATTTTTGATCCCTGTTTCATATGATACATCTACATAATATATTATAAATTAATTTTTTCATTATATAGGACATATTAAAGTAAGTTAAATAAAAAAATTCTATAATATTTAGATTACCCTGTATAAATAATTTGAATTGTGTAATGGGTGGTTTGTCTGCTCCCGAAATATTTGATCTATATTATTATGGTAAAATCCATTAATCAGTAAATTATAGTATTAATACCAAATTGCTATTTTATTGCTGAAATTTAAAAAAAAATTAATTAGCCCGTTTATTGATTACAAATACTTATTATTATAACTATGTACTCTTTTCATGATTAGATTGAAGGTCCTGAAAGTGTGATCCAAAGTATTCATGTCGGATATTTACTAATTAGATTCCAATTTTTTTAAAATAAAATGCAATTAAATGTTTTTTTGATTTTTTTTCTTATAACAATGGGACACAATTATTTTTTTTTTAAAATTATATTTATTTCGTCAATAACAATATTTTTTTCGTCAATAACAATAGGATACAATGTAATTTTTTTTGATATTAATAATGATAACTTTTAATATTATTCATTCAATATTAAAATTTTTCGATAACAATAAATTCCACAAATACATTATTTTTATCAAAATGTTCTTTGATAAATCATAAATCATCAACATATATTTTATTTTTGTGATAATATATATAAAACATCAATTTTCCATCAACATAATATGTAATATTTTGTTAATACTAAATTAATATGGCTTCACTTCAGGAAACATTTGAAGATAAAACGCCTGAACAATGTAAAAAAAGATTAAATAATGAAAGTCAAACCTGTACAGACATGCATAAATCTCATAGATATCAGTGAATTAAAATTCTCATATTACATCAAGAGAACTGTCAGACAAAAAACATTGTATATAATGAAATTTTTCAAAATATTTAACACTCATTTATTGTAAATATAATTTAAATTACTCTAATGCACTATAATTATATCATTCTAATATATAGCTACATTATTGTAAATATGATTCATATCATTTCTAAATATAATTTATATTATTCTAATACTGTAAATATCATTCCAATAATATGATTTAATATATCTTATTTTAATATTTTTTTGTTAACTAATTATTAACTATATATCAAGTTTTAATTAATAAACAAAAAACTGTAACCATTTTTAATTTACATTATAATACCAAATTGTTCTATTTAAACAAACTCATTAGGTCCAGTGCGAAGCAACAGGTAACTGCTAGTATATATATAAAATAATTAGTACTGTTAGGCGCAGATGAATCATGTGAATCATGCGATACAATTCAAAGATTATTTATACAGGCTAATCTAAACGTTAGAAGATCGACATGTATTTTTTTATTATATTAATATATAGATTACAAATAAACTTATATTTAAGTAATTCTATATCTATATAATTTTATATATAATACTTGCATATTATTTATTCGACTATAAATTACAAATAAACTTATATTTAAATGGTTTTATATTTACACAAATTTATATAAAATATTTATAATATTTCTATATTTAAATAAAAAGCAAATAAAATGTATATGCGTATTATAGACTTATAAAAATTTATATTGGATATATATAGGATTATAGATATTACATAAATTCTATAAAAAATATAACTGCTGATGAGGTAGATCTGCTTCCGCAGTCTATCTTAAAATATTTTCTCTGCAAGGAAGAACATTCATGAAAGATTGTGATAGAGCTTCAAGCGGTAACTCAGTAAACAACTAACAACCATGCTAGGAAATCATGGAGCAGATTCCGGAAAAAAAGTCAATTAAATTAAAATCCCAATTCTATATTCCCTTGTATTCCCATTGAAATCTACCATGAGTTATTACCATATAAAAAATTGGCTTTTTTTTTAAAAAGAAAATGTGAATAATTTAATAACTAGGCGATATCTCTTTTATAACATAATTCAAACATTTGATTAACAGCAGCACCATCTAAAGGCTTTCATTTTAAATAAACGTATCTCCCACCTTATTATCATTATATTTAGTAATTAATATTCTGTAAATTTGAGCCAATCATGATCAAGTCCAAATACAGTGAATGAGCGAAGTTCAGCTAAGTATAATTATCAAGCACGTATCTTTTGGCCTTCTGCTTTTATGTACGCACGCTATAAATTTTTGGCTACCGTTTCAATAACAAATGCAGTATACGTTATTATAAACAAAATATTTCAATACTTTTGATGTATCAAACGATACTTTGAAAAAATAATTTCTATTGAAAGTCTTCATCTATATGTTTCACCTCACAATCAAATATATTACTATTGATTAATTAATCCAACTACTTGTCTATAATATAATTTGTAAAATAAATTGAATTTAAATACTATATGTAAAAATGATTTGTGATGTGTAACAGTTAAAAAAATTTCTGTATAACGTTAGTGATAAATAGAAACTTTACATATTTACAAACCTTATTTTAAAGGGATATAAAATTAAATATTTATTTGATAGGTATATATACAAACAATAAGTATAGTCTTAATTATACATGGGTGATATCTAAAAGATCATCTAATTTATGTACAGCATTTTCATGACCTTGTTTAGCAGATTTTTTATACCAATAAATCGCTTGATTCTTATTTTTTTCAATTCCATTTCCAATTTCATACATTACACCAAGATTAAATTGAGCAAATTTATTTTCTAAATTTGCAGCCATTAAATATAATTCAAATGCTTTTTGAGTATTAACATTAGTTCCAATACCACTATCATAACAACATCCCAAGTTATTCAACCCATAAGAATTTTCTGAATCAGCAGCTTTTTGATATAATTCAAATGCCTTTGGTATATTAATGTCAGTTCCAATACCTTCTTCATAACACCAACCTAAATTATTTATTCCACTCGAATTTCCTAAATCTGCAGCTTTTTGATATAATTCAAATGCTTTTTGTAAATTAATATCAATTCCAATACCTTCTTCATAACAATAACCTAATTTATCTATTGCATTTGGAATTCCTTTATCTGCTAATTTTTTAGATAATTCAAAAGCTAAAATACAATTTTTATTAATACCTTTTCCATGAACATACATTTCAGCAAGATATAATTGGGCTATATTATTCTCTAATTCTGCCGCTTTTTGATATAATTCAATTGCTTTTTTCTTATCAATATTAGTTTCAATTCCATAATAATTAAAATATCCTAGTAAACAAATATTATTTGAATAATCATATTGATTATTTAAAAGCCAATTATAAATTTCTTTTGGAATTAATTTGTAATTATTAATAAAATTATGAACATGTCGTTTTATTATTCCTTCATCTTTTCCTTCGTTTAATTCCTTAAAAATAAGATTAATTAATTCATCAATTACGATACTTAAATCTTCTTCAAAAATATTTTCATGAATATTTTGAATTGTAGGTTTTATTTCTTTTATGTTAATTTTATCAAAATTTTGTAAATATTCATTTAATAAATTATTTTCAATTAATAAATTATTTGTATTTGATAAGTAAAAATTATCCGAATAAATTTTAATAACAGACATTGCAAAATGAAAATAAAAAAAGGGGGAGGTAAATAATTTTTTTTTTTCACGACTATTTTAATTAAGCATATGGTGACACTGCGGCCTAATTTGTCAATGATCACCCTTAGCAAATTTTTGAGCTACTGTAAATTTTGATAAGCGTAACGTAACGTCAACTAAAATAACCTTATAAAATACTTGAAGGTTTTTAAATTACATTATCTAATTTAACGCGCTAATTAACAATCTCATTATATTATCTGATTCAATAAGGAAAGGCTGTCGATAGGTAGGTTAAGCCCGTGGGTAGGTTTTTTGCTAGGTTTTTTTTTCAAAAAAAATAATTTCTAATAAAATTTTATTGTGTTAAGTAATTTACAAAATATACAATATATTTGGTTAATCAAGTTTAATAATATAAAAA